TTTTTTGAGTATATCTTAGATCTCGTTCACACCAGCGAAATATGCTTAAAAATAATGATCAGAAACAGAGAAATGAGAAACTGTATGAATTTTCCATAGATTTTAAGGAGTCATTAACTTGTAATTATTCTGTTCAATGTGCTAAATTTGAAGTCGACAGACAATGGTTAGGCACCCTCTATGAAGAAAACCATTTTAACCGTGTTCAACATAACAGCTTCATGTGTTGTATAACACATGTATTCCTTTCATGTTTCTTTGAAATTGGGGCAAACTGTTTAACACGACAGTCAAATGAATTTTGAAATTTTCCCCCCTTAGCACATGTCTGAGCCATCTGCAGAGATCTCTGGCCTAATTTTTTTGAGGTCGACTAAAAGCCACCTGTGTTGTCATTCTCTTGTCAAGACCTCCGTTTGGATTATGATTGCATCTCAAAAGTAGAAAAGTGTCAATAACGTTTTCCGTTCTCCTATTTCGATTCTTTTACAATCCCTATTAAACGCAGGTTTCCCTTAGACTCAAATCAACAATGAAATGAGGGAACATAAGCAATCTGGGTATCAATCGGAAACGATTAAACTTAAAAGAAATGGATTAAAACGTCTAATTTCCGTGAACCCTTTTTATTCTCCAAACAGCAATTCTACCCTGCATAATTCATCGTATATTTAAGTAAACAGAAAAGAATTTTCATTATGATTTTTCCTTATTTACCTCCATTCGCTTCAACACGTGTAGAAGTAAGTTTCTTGAGCTCGTTTAATTATTCGCTCAGTACGATCATTCTAATACAAACTCCTAAAAACTGACGTTTCGAGCGTTAGCCCCTTGTCAGAGCGGCAAACACAAACTACTGCCAACAAGCAGGCTATTATCTTTCTAAAGGACTGGTCATTATTTCACGTCTGCGAAAAAGAGGGAGGGGAGGGTCGAAGGATTTTGGTTATGTCAAGATAAAAATCACATGATCCCCCGTGATACTTCTTATGATCTCCTCCCTCCTTATTCATTAGTCAGTTTTTAATTATTCCCCCCTTTCTGCTCTACTGGCGACGAATGATCCCTTCCCCGTTATCCCTGAAAGCCAGGAGAAATCGACGCTTTTACAAATACTCTGCGAGATTTTGAAATGAATCTTCAAATCGCCACGTAATCATGATAGATATGCCTGAAATTTAGGCTGTCGATTGTATGTTAAAATATACTTTTTAACACTTTTCTTAGAGACTAATGTTCTAACACTTTTCACATTATTGACCCACTTTTTCCGTTTAGAAATGGAAAAAAAAGAATTATTCAACTAAGCGAAAGGAGACAACCAGGAAAAACGCGCTTGATTTTAATTAGAGTCTTGAA